TTCAACTGCTTGAGCGAGTTCACTGGGCATGACGAACTGAAACTTTGAATTGGTACCGAGGAGCTTCAATTGCTTCCAAGGTTGCCTGTGGTTGAGTGCAGCAATGATTTGCTCACTTCCCAGGGTTTTGATGGCAGACAATGCTCGATCTTCGACCACTTCCTGGGGAATACCATGCTTGGAAAGTTCCTGTACCAACTTTTGAAGGAGTTGTCCGTTTGGCCCAAATCCCCACTTGGCTTTGCAGGATGGTGGTAATCCAAAAGTCAGAAATGCGGCAGCAAGGGATTCTCGGATCCTCGCAAATGAAGTACAATCGGTAGGAGCCTCAAAATTGTTGGCAAGAGCGAGCAAGGTGAAAACACCACAAAATGGATTGTGCCTAGCTGGCAAAAGCTCCAAATTGTATCCCAACATGGCAAGTGCAAGTGAGACAGAGCAAACTTCAATGGTCACCACAATGGCTTTCCCAACACGAGTCAACAGGACAGGTTGCCAGTGCAAATCGCTGAGCAAGGCAAATCCCTCAACTGAAGAAGAGGAGAGTGCAAACCGTTCAACAAGCAAACAAGTCGATGCCAAATCAGAAACAACCGGGTGTGTCTGGTAGGTGACCAAATTGGCCAGGTGAAAACGCATCTCCTCGTCACTCATCCCCTGATGGGAGGGACAATCATCTGCACCCTCACTGAGTTCTGAAAACATGCAACTTTGCTTGGTTGACACAGCAATGGCATGGTGGGTTCGGATTGCTGGAGAGCATTCGCAAACACTTCTTTCATTCTCCAACAACGATCTCTCAACTGATGAACATCCCTTGGGAACCTGGTATTCAGAACGATGTGAGCCAGAAAACAGATTGACATTGTGCCGCAAAGCCTGGATACATCAACACCATGTGGAACTCTGTGAATAACAACATCACTGAATCCAAGGAAAAAGGCAAAGTCATTGAAGAACTGCGCAACTTCAGCATCATCTTGTGCAAAATCACCCAAAGTGTGACACTGTGCAGTGTCTCCAACCGGTGCAATCCAAAACGGAATCCAGTGCTGACGGAAATTGACAACCGCAATGCAATGTTTTTCACATGTCCATTGGGCATCTTTCCATTCCTGAAGGTTTCGAGAGTCACCCTGGATCCATGCATCCAAAGCGATGGGTGAAACTGTCACAAACTGTCTGATCAGGCCCGTGGGCCGTGGTCCTTGCGAGTAACAGTCAAGCAAATGATTCAGATGAAAAACAATCTCATCGTCACCCATCGCGTAGCTGTGTGAAACAATCATTTGAAGTCTTCTGTGCCGTTGTTGCTCAGGGCTATCGGCACTGGCTGCAGCGTCATCGGGCATTGTCGGGAGTGGCCCGGATTCCCTCGGTGCCCCATTTCCCCACACAACAGGCTTAGGGGTATATGCAATGGCATACAAGTGGGCAACAAATGAGGCTCGCATGTTGGTATGAAGTGTCCTGAGTTCACGAAGATCCTGAGGCAAGGGCATACGCATGATTACATGGGCCAGGAAAGCCAAGGCATGAGCACCACACATAACATGATCAGGTAAACCACCAGGAATGCGATGAAAGGCGTGATTACCAAAGCCCAACTGGGAAGCCAAAGTCGCACAAACCCCTTCCACAAAACTGAAGTCAACTTCTGATTGGAAGGTATGGATTTGCAAGGAATCTCCTTCAGGGACCATCCAAATGGGCAACCAGTGATTATCCACAGCTACAGCGGTGACAACGTTTTGCCCATGTTCACGGATTTGGGGGTTCTTGGACGACCATTGATTGGCAATGATTTGGCCAATAGAATCCCAGCAATTGAAAATCAACAGTTCCATGGTGATATATTTCAGGTCGCCCGGAAACCCTGGCATCGTGGGTTGTTTGGAAACCAAATCCATGATGTGAAACCGTATCTCATCATCAGCCATTGCAAAACCCTTCTGGTTGATGAGATCAATCCTTTGATCTCTTGTGATATTGACGGCAAGGTGCAAATCACTCACTGAGCTACTGCTACTGGCTGGCTGATCACCTGCTCCCCAGACCCATGGTCTACGGGCAATTTGACACCTCCTGATCTCCTGTGTGAAAATGTCTTTCAAACGAGAGTGAATCACTGTGGCCTCTGTGCAATCAGTTGGAAGCTGGGTTCCCATGAGTGCATACCTGAGAAAGGCAATGGCCAATGCACCACAGAGTTCTGATGTGAAAAACAGGCGATGTTCCCTAAGTACCAAGGCATGTTGAAAACCCAATGCAACAGCAAGGCTTTGGAGTACCGGGTCCAATCCCTCATGTGAGGCACCCATTCCATCCCATGTATGAACTTGCAAAATCCCATTCAACGGGGACATGAAAATGGGGACCCAGTGACGACCCAACAAGGCAACAGTGACGATGGGTATGTTCTTGTGTCGGATCTCAGGGTGGTCTTTCGCCCAACATTGTGGTGCAAATCCTCTGTTTTGAATCCAAGCAGAAAAGACAAGGGGATCAATCATACACACCTCTGATGGGACACGTCCCGACTTGGTTTGAGCCGCTTGGTACGATTGCACTACCGCATTCATATGAAACCGAAGTTCATCATCAGCCCAAAATGGACCTTGGCATTCCAAAATGGCAATACGATCCTGCGTTCTGACGTATTGGTGTCGTAAGGACCACCGTTGCTGAGCATTCTGGATACAAGGCATCTGCAATTTGAGAAACTGTTGATCCTGGAGACCATGCAAGGCGGATGCATCAAGCCAATTCTGATCATCAGGCAAAACCATGGATGGGACAGTGCATTCACCAACATCAAATTTTGAGATTTTGCGGGGTGGTAAAGCACCATCTTCCTCTTCAATTGCTGGTTGGGTCCATTCTGCGGTGGGTGAAACACGGACATCCTGATCAACATGCAAACATGGTGATACACTGGGATGCTGCACTTCAAGTGTGATCAACTGCCCAACCTCCATGACATGATCAAGTCCCAAAACACGGTTGTTCATCATGATGCGGGCAATACCAAACTCTCCAACAAGTTTAGTATGAGCAGTGACAAGTTCACGGATAGTGGCCCCACACTTTGGCTGGAACTTCAATGGTGCTTCGGTCAACCCTTTGAAAATGACAGTACAGGAATCCACACACATACAGCCTACCGTTTCAATATCATCGACAATGGCAGGTGAATCAAAAATTGGAGTCTCATCTTCTTCATGCATGTCAATGCTGTCAGGCACAGTTTGACAATTGGCTTCTTTTGCACGGATCAATGAATCCAAAACAGCAGCAATGCTGATGGTTCCCTCGATTTTGCCTTCCCATTTTGGTGGGAAAAGGAGTTCAGCAAGTGACAGATGTTTGAATTCATCCCAAAAGGCAATCATTTCAAGCAGTTTCTGGTCCTCAATCACTTCGTCATCAGTAGGCCAAACAAGACGGCATCGCATCAACAGCCAGGATCGGTACGCCTGAACTTGAGCGCCTGGGCTGAAGGTAGGCATGTGTTTCATGGCATCAATGCGTTCCAATATGGAACTCAGGATCCACAATGCTTGCGCAGGGCAGGCAAGTTGTCCTGCTGCAGACAGGGTGAGGCGAACGTCGGTGCCAAAATCAATAACTGGATCAAATGTGTTCAATCCCATCACTTCATTTGGGTGCAAGTGACGTATCACAGTAGACCCATTGGGGAAAATGGCACTACGTACCAAACATCCATGAAGTCCTTTACTCTCCAACCGTTCTTGAGTGAAACCAAATTGGCGGCAACCACATGGACAGGCTCTGGTTTGGGATCCCCATGCATGTAAAGCGCATGGTGCCTTTGATTTCTCATTGAGAAGGTACTTGGCATGCAACTCATCATTGACACCAAAAGCTTGCCTTTCAATCTTGTCAAGGGCAAGACTGAGTTCATCCTCATGTGCCCACAGGCGAACTCGGGGTATCACATGTTGGACCTGTTGAACATTGGCCATGGGCTCAACTCGATTGGACCTAAATCTGGTGCCGAGATAACCCACCATGCACGGTGGCATCGACATGGCCATATATGATCAAGTTTGAGTTCAACTTGGCGGCGATGGAAACCAGTGCATTTCACAAAATGATCCAATTCTCCCTTCACGAAAGCATCATGAGCCGCTGGTGAGACGCATTCGAGCACTATCAGTTGAGCCTGCAGCAAGAAAGCGGTGCGGAGCGTCTTGGTGAGACAATTTGACCTCAAGTCATCTTTGCTGCGTTCGTCGCCCAATCGGGAGAAGGGCTGGCAACTAAAGCCGGAGGTAACTGTAGCAGCTCCTCCTGAATGTCTCCAAATTTGGCAGAGAACATCATCACTACCAATATCTCCGCAAATCACATGGGCATCTGAAGCTTTTGAGTACAATTCCAGCATCTTTGGGTTCTGGTCAACCGCAACTTGGATGGAAAAACCCGAGGCGAGAGCGCCTTGTGCCAACCCTCCAAAACCTGAACACAGGTCGATTGAAGACAAAAGTGAGTCCCAGGAAGGCCTGCGGTGGCCCATAATCACTGTGTCTTTGGTTGAAGAAACCATCGTCACTGGAAACTGTTGTCGGAGAACCCCTTTGAGAATGGTGAAACTTTGAAATTCATCACTAACCAAGCCCTCAAACAGAAAAGTGCAACCATTTGTGTCAACCATCAGATGAGCAGATTGTTCAGCGTCGAATATCTTCAGGGAACACACAATAGTCAGTTGCTGACCGTTCGAAACACTACCGAAGTCCATGGGGAAGTCTCGGGACATGGCTAGAAACCTAAGAGACAAGTACCGCCCAACGCTCGGCTAAGATCAGCCGCACTCCTGGAAAGTCTTTGGGCCGTCACGGCTTGTTTGAAACCACCAACCAGTACTATATCTTACTATAGTATATGGACTATTTATGGTATCGCATTGCTATTTACCAGTATTTTCATAAGTTTCCATCTTTTCCCACGTCCTTTTGCCCCCAGAAATCGCCCGCCTTCAGCGTGGATTCGGCCTCGGTCACCGCGGTCACCGCGGCCACCGCGGGCACCGGCAGCGGCCTGGGCGGCCGCTCCACCACCGCGGTGCGCGGCGAACGCAGCTCCGCCTTGCGCAGAAGGCCCGTGGCGTCCCTGGCGCAACGTCGTGTGGATGGAGTGGTGGGGATGGAAATTCACATAGACCCTGGCAGATAGGGGTTGGAAGATGTTGGAAGACTAGTTTCCATGAAAAATGGGTGATTTTCAGGGTCAACAAGTTTATTTACCAGATATGTGTTTATATCATGACTTTTTTCCGGAGGTTTCCAAAAATGGGGAGCCCTAAATCGATGAATCATCGTTTTCCACGAGACATCCTTTCATGGAGAGGTTTTCTGCATCATGTGGTGGTTAAATCCTGGGAGAGTTTGGGACTATGGAGCCACATGAGAGCGCGATGTTTTTGCCGACCATGAAATCAGTCAAGACTTGATGGTCCACCATACTGAGCAAATAAATGGACTAGCTGCACTTAGAAGTAGACTAAACCTACTTGCCCCACTTATAAACAGGTCTATAACCTATTGATGAAGTGAGCAGTGTTCAAAACTCTCTGTCGTCCTTTTATACGAGTTGGTTCAGAAGGGATTTCATGGATTGTGATAATCATCCATATACTGGTATAGCCCAAACAAAGCATCAATCAATCATCATTTATCAATTCTTGCCAATTATATCCAATTATACATATATATATATATATATATATTATATCTCCATATGTTCAGGGTTAGAACCCCATCAAAATCCAGTTACCCTCTGGTAATTAATTAGCTATTGAAAATTTCCATTTATAGTTGTTGATTTATCAATTCAAAATGGTGATTTCCACAGTTATGGTAGTTTACTAGAGGGTATAACTCAAGTCGTCACTTTAAAACAAGCTAACTAGGATTTATCATGATTTGCATGGTCAAATTCCCAAGTGTATCATCAGTCAACCAGGAACCATCATCTATCAATGATTTCCACTTATATCATCATATTGTCAGTTATAAAATCCAGTTATAAATTCCCATATTTCATTCATCAATAAACCATCGTTCATCAGTTCTATCCGAATTAAATGAATGTAAAATCATGTTAAATCTCTCACAACTCGTTATTAATCATCAATCAACGATTATCCAAATTATCCATGATAAAAAAAAGAAAACCATTATATCCTATCAAAAGCCATCATTCTGGGATATTCTGGGTAAATTGTAATATTTCACTATCACTAACCTGAATTTTTCGGCCATAAAGGATGCATTGCATTCCCAAAAATAAACCATGATTCCAGGCTTTGGGAGATCAGGCTTCGGTATGTTTTTTTTTATACCAAAATACATTTTCTGGTTGGTGGTTGACCTACCCCTCTGAAAAATGATGGAGTTATATAGTTCGGATTATTCTTCCCAACTGAAAGTCATAATCCATTCATGTTCCAGTCACCACCATCCAAATAAATCCACGTAATATGTTGATATTCCATGATATTCCCATGTAATCCCATATACATATATTATACATATATTATACATAGATTTTTGTTGGTGAAATCATGTGAAATCCCATTTCGATCATCCACTTGGGAGCACCTGGGAGTCATGCGGCTCGTGGTGGCATCCGCCATCTCGCCTATCCAAAACAAACCCCCGGAGGGATGTGAAACGTGGAAGATTTAAAGAAGACACCATGAAAGATGTGGATTCTGGCTGAAACATTGTGAAAAATGTTGATTTAACTTGATTTAACAATGATAAATAAGGATTTAACATGATTTAACCACTGGAAAATGATGATCATTGATATGTGATGATATGTGGATGTGTTTGAAAATTGGGGATTGAGAAGATATACGGCCAATTTATGGCACATTTAAGGGGAACAGTCACGATGAACCAATGATGGTCAGGTTTCATGGAAATAATAGTGGCTTGTGGACATCCCAGCATCAGGGTACATAAAACCACATCAATAGAGGTATGAACATACGCCAATATGGATAATCCAACTTTTGATCATGGTACATATGAAATGATACAGATTTGAGATGCTTAGTCAGCCTAGTCAATGCTTGGACGATGACCCCACTTAGAAACTTCTTAGCCCCTCGATTCGTGGCGTTCGCTAAGCCAGCTAAGCCAGCTCAGCGATATGGCAGAAGAAAAAACTGAGGAGACTGATGAATACTGGTTGGTGGTATACCTACCCCTCTGAAAAATATGACTTCGTCAGTTGGGATGATTATTCCCAATATATGGAACCATAAAAAATGTTCCAAACCACCAACCAGAATACAATAACCTGGCCTCAATCCACAGGGATGAATAAGTAACATCAGCCAAGCCAGCCAAGCTGGCTACAAGCTGGCTACAATCTGACTGGCTACTGATTCACCCACCTGAGAACATTCAGAATAGCTGTGCTTCAAGGCCAGGGGGATCACCAAAAAACATCATCCAGAATAGATGATTGTTTTGTCCTGGTCCGGGCTATCATCCAATCTGCTTCACAGCTGGACCATATTCAATCCACCTGATCACAAACCTGTGGCAATCTCAGTTTTGCAGTCTTAAAAAACCTGTACAAAAGAATAAAGTTGCTTTAAAAAGGCTTACCATACCAATCTTAGAGTTCTTAGTGCTTATCTTGGAGTTTTTTTGGAGGCTTACCACACCAATCTGTAACATCAACCAAGATTTAGCATCACCTCCACACAGAAAATTGTCGCTGCGACACATGACGGACTAGCTGCGACACAATCGGAGCCTTGCCACAGTCTGAGTCTCGTATGTCTACATGGAGGAAGTGGCCTCTAGTGCTCTGAGCTTATGTATATAGATACTATATAATTTTAATATATAAATATTATATATGCATAGAGATGTATAGATTATAACGGCAAATATGGCAAATCATTGCAAATCCACAAATACAAGAGATCAATCTGTGGATATCGATGATTTTCCGATCAACCAGCCACGTTTGAGCACATGAGGGCAGCCAAAACTATGTGTGTTCCCTGGATTTATGATCATTTCATAGGTGCGGCCTAATGCCACTTACCATCAGCTGTGCAAATAGGGACCCGTTTCGGATAATTCCACACTGCTATTTTTTTTGTAGTTCGCATCCTCAAAATTTGAAAATAACCAACCAGTGTACATGTTGGATGTAAACAAGGAATGCAAGTTTCGATTTTTTTTTAAGTCTAGAGTATTTCACAAAAGAGCTACCTATACCCTCCAAAGTATCCACAAACGCCCTGAAACTTAGGAGAAAAAGTTCAAAGGGACTGCATGGCACGAATAGACTTCGAACATCTTCCAAACAAATGGTCATTGGAACCCAATAGCTGGATGGTTTATGGAAAATCACCCAAACAAAAATGGATTTAGAATCAAAAATGGATTTGGATGGATTTGGTATACCATATCATCATTTACCGGTTGTTAAAGGGGTTTCTTCAAACCCCTTTATAAATCAACCAACCAATGGGAGAAGGACATCTATGATTTAGAATGATTTAGGTAGTACCCCCATGACTTTTAGGAACCCCATGGCTCATCTCTATCCCCAGGCTATGGCGGCCCCTTTGGGCGCGGCACCTTGAGCGAGCCCCACGATTCGTCGACCGCGGCCGTTTGTTTTGAACCGACGATTCTGTGCGGGAAAGCTGCACAAAGAGCTGGTTGAAAACCAACACGAACACAATGGTGATTACCCTCTGGTAATTTAACATAGCTATTGAACATGACCTTTTATAGTGGATTTTCCCATGAAAAATGGTGATTGTCCATAGCTATGTTAGTTTACCAGAGGGTATATGTGATTATCACTTGCAATAGTGTTGTCGTCCTCATCGCTGTCGTCGCCATCATCAACAACAACAACATAATAATAATAATAGTCATATAGTAACAATGCTACTACTTATCATCATCATCAACATCAACATCATCTTCATCTTCATCATCGTCGTCATCATCACCACCATCACCATCACCATCACCATCACCACCATCATCATAATAATAATCATAATAATAATATACCAGCAGGGATGGAGATAGTACACAAGCTTGGGAGAAAAACTAAACATATGGACAACTGCATGAACACTCAAATATGACAAAAAAACATGATGACACATGTGGTCAATTACACTTTCCCCTTGGGACACATGAAGGGATGTGGAATGCCCACATGACGGGGACATCAACCTCGTGGGATCTCCACAATCACAAGCAAATTTCACTTCACCCACCATTCAGCTGTCATGGTGTTGGAATACTATGGTGTTGGAATCTGAAAACCAACATGGAATTGCAAAGGATTGTGTTTTTTGATGCTAACCAGTGATCATGTATTCTATATATATATATACACTGTATGTATATAATCATAAATCTAGCCCATATCTGTATACCATCCATATTTCTATATCTAACATGGCCAATCTTAGATACCCTGCTAAAAATAAATTCTTAGCTGGTTCGTAGATAATCCCATTGATACCAAAAGACTACTGTAAGGGATTAAACCACCCATCTAAGATTGACCTAGTGAAAATCCTTGAATAGTAAACAAAATAAGCCCACTAAGGAGACTTACTACAGCCATACTTTGATTCATTGTGGTCACGCAAGAAAGCTGATGGCGCTGGTGAATGGATGATTCTACACTTTGGTTTTGATCATTTTCCCTAAACGTAGGAGGACAAAAACAGCCATGATCTGTATCCTCATCTATGATATCGTATTAGGATAAGGATATATGAGATAGGCTATCTTATTAAGATAGGATATGTGTATCCTCAACAAATGATAATTGTGTTTGATCAAACATTCACATTTGGTTCCTATCTCATATATGATCTCATATTAGTCCATGGCCAATCTTAGATACCCTGCATACCATAGGCAGTACATGGCAGCACAAATATGGAGCTGGTCAGCCATTATTTATCTACCTAATGGGTACAAAAAGTGGTTGACCATAGTTAACCCTTTTATTGACCCTCTGGTTGCCGCCATGGAACGCATGGCCATACGAGTCATGGATAAATCTTCTACACGGTCTACACGTGTTTATTTTATGGCGGTTATGGCTGTGCTGAATTGCCAAAAGGCAAGCAACCAGTACAAAAAGGGACATCTATAGCTTTATAACCCTGTCGCCTATCAACTATAGCTATCATTGCCCATTGCCATGAATCCTAGTTAGAGTTAAAAACTTACACAGCTAACGAACTGAGGCACAACCTTGTGCGATGCATTTGGACACTCACTAACCCTGTTAGTTTGCCTTTTGGCGAGCGTTGCACGAAGGTCTGTCGCCCGTCGGCAATCTTTGCGCCAACTGGGGATGAATCAAACCTTACGAACAAACCCAGATACGTGGGTTCCCTAAATTAGAAACAATGCTGTACGTATGTATGTATGTATGTATGTATGGATGGATGTATGGATGGATGGATGGATGGATGCATGGATGCATGGATGCATGGATGCATGGATGCATGCATGGATGCATGGATGCATGGATGCATGTATGCATGTATGCATGTATGCATGCATGGATGTATGCATGTATGGATGTATGCATGTATGTATGCATGTATGTATGCATGTATGTATGTATGTATGTATGTACATATATATATGTACAGAGCGAGAGAGAGAGAGAGAGAGTTGACATGAAATTAGGACCTCTTCAAGCAACATGTCTTATATTACTTTATATTATCATCCATCTATCTCTCCCAATTACCATTACCATCCCATCTTTTTGGGTTGGCTCGCAATGACTTGACCCCCCATCGAGTTCAGACTTGTGCAGGTTCCCGACAGCCACCCCTCTTGGTAGTGCGAGCAAGCCCTGCAGTTCCAGCCCTCCTGCTATGATCGCCAGCATCAGCATCTGACTTTCAGGGTGCCCCGTTTTCTTCGCCCGAAGCAGGAGGACTTCTGAGGGAAACCCTCAAAATTGAAGAAGTCTCATGCTACTCATCTCCAGCGTTGAAGTGCATCAACCGGTCTATATATATATAAATATACATACACTATACACCCTATAGTACCCTATGGTTTCAAGAATTTCCAGAGAAGGTACTTAACCCCCAATACATACTGTACCGTCATACTTCCGAAGCTACGGCTGGGTCCCGAGTGAGCTAAAAAATCGATGTGTAATTTGGAAATCATCTGGGAAAACCAGGTATTTTGCATAGAAAATGTTCATCAGATATGATGTGAAACCATGTATATAAAATATGTCCATACATATGTGAAACCATGTACCCTCTGGTAATTTAACATGACTATGGAAAGATCCACCATTTTCTAGCTGGGTAAATCCACTATTTCGACTGGGCCATGTTCAATAGCTATGTTAGTTTACCAGAGGGTATCCCATTAGTAATTACCAGAGGTAATCCAGCCATTAACACTTATTATCCACTATTAACCATGATTAATCCTTATTAACCACTAGTAAACCATCATTGATCATGACTAATCATTATTAACCACTATAATATTGTTTCATCCAGTCTGGTTGATGTCCTTCTGCCGGTCCATGCAGAGCCCGATCCGGACACTTCAATTTTCTTCAAGTGTCGATCTGGATTCGAAGCGAGCTAATCACGGTATATGTGTGGGTCCAATGAAATATAATCCTTGAAACATAGTCATAAGAAAAGAATTCCATATATGAATATAATGGGCAAAATCGACTTAATATATTACATTTACAGTACATATAATTATATATAATTATATATATATGCTGATAATATCTATAATCTATTGTAGTCTCATATTTCATCCCCTCAATATTAAACACCTCCTATTAATAAACGGTTCCATATTTTTTTTCATCCCCTACATCCACCATGGTGATAAGGGTGATCTTTCCAGACCTGTAGTGGAGACTCCCAACTTTAACGTATCGTGATGACCATTAAGATGATGTTTTATGTTAATGTATGTTAATCATAAATGACTAAAATCAGCTGAATCAGCATGACGAGTTTTGTGAAAACCTTCGTTAGAAACACAACGTTCAGTTCAAACACCGGATCGGTCAATGAAGTCTCCTCGCTCCACATACCTCAAAAGATCTTCTCGCACGGTTCCCCCAGAACGGTCCTGCTTGGCCAGGCAAAGCCAGGAGCTTGACATGGTGAAAATCGGATCCATTTGAGGGAACATAGTTCGGAATTACCATGAGTATGCCACAGTTCGTATCTCGAAATATGAGTTGGTAATTTCACGTTCTGGAAACTCACCAACTTTAAAAGGTAACTAAAATCGAACTCGATGGGCCATGTTCATCCATTTTCCAGAGAGTATGACTTTTTTCCGTGTAGATTTTCCCTTCATCCAATTCTTGCATACGGGGCGTAGATTTTCCAGCGGCATTTTTTGACACCTCTTTGGATCCCAGGCTTGGTCACTGTTATGAAGGACTAAAATGTTTGGAAGGCACAGGGGGCAGTTTTTTCTTCCCTGTTCTGCTCTGTCCCTTTGTTTCGGCTCTGGTTTACCATGGTTTACCTATAACCAATGCGCCTACACAATTCATGGTTGGATTTTGAAAGCTTCACGGTACTTAAAACACGGTCCACATGAATTAATCCCTCCCCACTAATATTAACCCCCCCAGAAATATCCAGAAATCACAGTTTAGTAGGGGATTTCCAATCATCGGGACCATATAGGGGCTGTTTAATAATTTTTAATAGTAGGGGGATGGGATGTGTTCGTCACCCCATTTTAGTGGTAGCTATAAGACCTATGCCACCCTCCTCTGGAAAGATTCGGCGATAGCAGCAAATTGCCAGCGTTGCGCTCGTCCTATGGCACCAAGAAATAACATGATCTCTTGATCGCAAGCAAACAAAGGAATTGAACTTACTAGACTATATTAGATATGCAAGTGTATGTCTGTATATATATAACTATGTGTATACATCTAGATAACTTGAAATAACTTGTACAATAACTACGTATATATATATATATAATCATACACGTATAATAATACACATATATTGTATAATATATTGTATTCTGATATATTCATATATATATATATGTATACCCCCATGCTGGTCTGAATAGATGCAACAGGTACACCAACACACGGGTCATAGCAACAGGTCGCTGCGGATGGCTCAAAGGACGGAACTGGCCATTGGGACATCTACAGGCCATAACCACAATGTAAAAACTCTATCTACTTAAAGGTGAAGTTCCAGTTATAAGTTATAAGTAGTGATATATCATGATATATATATATATATTATATCATGATCTATCCCAAAAAAATGTAAGGGGTCCCATATCCAAACTTATGGAGGTGAACTCACCATGTTTATATCCAAGATGATTGAACTACCGAGCAATTGTGATTGTCATTGTTCTTTTTGGCATGTGGCTGATCTGCCGTTGTTGACATGTTGCACATGCTCGCTTATGCTCAACAGGGGGGTTGGGGTGGGGGGCCTGATAACGTTCTTGACGACTTTAAGACAGGATCTACGGAACAGAATGACATAGACATGCTGCACCATCCATTTATTTGCCAGCTGCTCCAGAGGTTGAAGATTCTAGATGGCCCAAGTCAACCACCAACAAAAATATCTTTACCAAGACTTTTTACTTTCGTGGTCGTTTGTGGCGCAAAGCCCGCAGAACCATCATTGCTGGAACTTAACAAATAGATGGTACATGGGCACACCTGAAAAAGTGGCGACCCATGTCCGTGTTACACAAAAAGAACCGGCAATTTTACAAAAAGAGATACTCCTTACAGCTGGACATGGCGTCACAATGTCGCCTTGACTGATTCTTTTGGAACGGCTTTGCCCAAAGCCCTTTGGCGTTGATGCTTCGAGACGTGAGGAAAAAGGAATGGGTGAGCCAGTGACGGATTGCACTTGAAACATGAAAATCATGAATTCCTAATGTTTTTGTTTAGCGCTCGAAGATCAAAATTGACTCGCGCAAGCAAAACACATTTTTTAAAACTTGAGTCACACGCCTGCCAATCGAAATGGATGTCCATGTTGCAAACATGTTTGAACAAGTCCCACAAATACCAGTTTTTTGTCTCTTAACCTCGAAAATTTCAATTTCAAATTTGTCACCCTTACAAGGGCAGCGAGTCAACCGGTGGCCTTGTTTTTTTTCCATCGCTCTGTCAAATTACCAGAGGGTACAAGATCACGGGGAAACACGCATATCAAACAATAATTTTGGCTTTTTATATAATCCACTTAGGATTGAGAAAAAAGGGTACATAGATGTCAATATCAAGTAGATCTTACATGCAACTGCATGATACTACATGGAAACATGGAACGGTGAATATCAATTAGATCCTTATTTGAATATCAAAAAATGTTAACACATAAATCACGGATTTCCTACATGATGCCCAAGTATTAAACTATATATTTTTGCCAAAAAGATATCCTGCCTGGCTAAGAATTGGAAAGGCCATGGATGATGATACTTGATAAGAAATATTCGATAGCAACCACCCTGAAAAAAAACATGAACCAACAGGGGTATGAATAAGTGAATAAGAATCACATTAAATCTAGACCATCACGTATCAATTGTATCCTCTAGACATCTCTAGACTATCCATAAGAATCCCATTAAAATCCAATTATAACATCCCCAAAATCATCAACCAACAGGGGTAGATCGCAGCCATTCTTCAACTGAACCGGCAGTTGCTGTCGAAGTTGCAGAAAGAAACTGATGATCATCAATCCTCAGTTCACAAACAACCTCAACCATGCAGTGTCTGGAACATGTCACTGCATTAAAATTGCATGTGTCAATGCTCAAATTTACAGACGTTGACTGAAATTGGGCTACACCAAAATATAACCGGTATATAATCATGAGATGTTCCATTAAACATAGCATTTTGTGGGTACCCCCCATGCTTGGACAAACTGTGTCTAGTTTGATGGCCTGATGCTTTTAGAGATTCCCATGATAAAAGGAGCATGCCGCAGCATGCCTTTTTTTTTAGTCCAAAAGTTTCTCTTGCAGACCTATCAGCAAAATGCTATGGGGCAGAAAAGTAAAACATGGAGAACTCAACTGTTCTTTCTACGTGCCAAATCCCCACCCTAACACCAAGGATTGAGAACAACAACCATTTCCGGCTGTTCCTGACAAATTCAACTGATAAACCAGCTGAACCAGGTTCATCTGGCCAAGTTGTGGTACCAGTTTCACCCATCAGACCCAATGGAATGGTGGGATAATTGCCCACCTAAACCTTGTGCAAGAAGCAGTTCAATCATCCGCAGGCAGTTTGCCAACAATCCTTGAAAACTCCCAAATACCCCGTGTTGGTGGATTTGTCATAGCTTTCCGTTCCCAAGTTTTCCCCAACACCCTTGAATACTGCGATATGATTCGATTTGGGCTTGTCTGAAAATAGTATGCCCAAGAAAATCATGGTTTATCACATCCTCATGTAACTTGCACTTTTTGACACACACACACAATATATATATATATATATTCACCATCCTCATCATCCATCAGCTGTCCATCCGATGTTTCATGGATATCCCTGCACAGTTCTTTCACTTTTGTTCATCTCGTGGACTCCTGACAGTATCGTCTCAGATTTGTGGAACATCGATGGAACGGTACCCCCTTGCATCAGCCAGGACATACTGTCGGACTGTCCATCATAAACCATCCAATTTTTGGTACCCCCATTTTAGGAAAACCCCCACATGTTTATGTTTTGTCAGTCGCGTATTATCTTGGTTCATTCGGGTCTCCTCACCATTGTCGGTCCTATATCCCTTCGTTGTGTGATTGTTTACGGTAATAAGTAAATTCACCATTAGTTCGTTCTAGATGTGCTAATTTGAAGTGACAGACAAAATCAGCACCATTTGTCGGACATGCCTTTACAGTTTTTAATTTCAGCAGTTGTTGTTCAGAAACAACATGTGTTGCCCTTACTTGTAAGTAGCAACATTCTCACATGCCAAAAGAAAAAAGTTCAAATCACATCTTACCAGCAGCATGCAATGGCCACAAGGACAAACTTGACCAAGAAGGCCATGTGTTCCCCGTCGGTCTCTGCAACAGGTCACTGTTATGACATCTTCTGGTCATGCCATGGTCAAGTTACATGCGATTGGTGCGCTATGGTTTACGAAATTGATCTGTTTATGATTTCCCTAGCATCATCATCATCATCATCATCACCATCAACAACAACCACAACATTATCATACATTATCCTCCCACCCCCCACACTGTTTGGGGTCTCTTGCCGGGAGAATTGTTTATAGGGTGACCATCCCCTTTCACAGAAAAACCACTGTGTAACTTGACCATTGGACCATGCGGGTTCGTCTGAACATCGGGTACAGTGCCCGATAGAATTTTGATGGTGAATCACAATGTTTCCTGGCTGCACCTTATTTTCAGACACGCCCAAATATCCATTGTCATCAGTATCCATTAGTTATTAAATCAGTTAAATCCTTGTTTGTTCATTGTTAAATCCACATTGTTTACCATGTTTCATGGTTAAATCACATTTGTTCACCATTGTTCATTGTTAAATCCACATGTATCTGGGTATAATAATTCACTAACCTGAATAGTTCGGCCATTTGGGGATGATTCCCCTAAAATAAACCATGATTTCAGTGAGGGAGAACAGTGAGGTCGTTATAATTTACCCAGATGTCTCACTATTTGATGGTTAAATCCACCATATCATACGTCTAGAGAATCCAACGAGTTCGAAATCGTCGTTGATGAGTCGGATCCAGGACCAAAATCCTCCATGAAGGCCAAGGCCTCCGACAGGGAATATGAACGAGAAAAAACCGTCACGGACATATTGCGGAAGATAGCAGTATATCCAAGGAAATATGGTGAATAATTATATGGTATGTTATATATATATATACATGATATGTATATATATATATACATGATATATGATATATATATATATATGATATATATATAGATAGATGTATACATAGGAAATTCAAGGAAAATATGATGAATAGCTTCTGGTGGCAACGTGGCAGGAAATCTTCGGAAATGGTGGATCTTCCAGCTTCCATGTTTGATTGCTTGAGGGTGCGCCAGATTAACCATGGATAATGAATCCATTTAATACATTTACCCTCTGGTAAATTAACATAGACCCTGGCAGATAGGGGTTGGAAGACTAGTTTCCATTAAAAATTGGTGATTTTCAGGATCTATGTTTATTTACCAGAGGGTAATAGATACTTAGATACTTAGATACTTCATTATCTATGACAGAAAAAACATGTTTCAGCAACTGATAATTCATCAAGATAACTGATTTTTTTGAGACAATCCGTACGGATCCGTACCCTCTGAGGTGCTCGGGCTATGATTCAAGGGGTCAAGTTCCCAGAATGTAATTACTTGGATCCCAAGGGAATTCATGGATTCTTTGTGGATAATAGGGAGTAAATACCTGAGAAATTGATATTCTAGGGATATAACTATATAACTCATATTTATAATTCATGGAGAATTAATATTTTGAACCCAATAGCTAATACTATCCCCTCGAAACCCTGGTCTAGTATTGGATCTGTTCATTTTTTGGGGATGGGATTAATATTGATTTATCATATTCACCCGCGACAGCGGGGGTGTAAGCAGCAGAATCCAGCCATTTGATTCCAAACTCACCTATCACCCATCCCGATCCTCATGACAGCCAAACTGCCGGTTGTTTCTGCTGTTTGGTTGATGGAAATTCTGAAAAAGAGCAATGCTCAAAGAATTCCATACAACTCCCATGAAATGATGTTGGCATGGAGAAACACAATCATTAACCAAGTAGTGTATCGAAAAATTCTATCTCCGTGTTCAAAAATGGTCCAAAAATGTCCAAAACACCATATGATATTGATGGAAGCGGACTGGATCCATCCACCAGGCATAAACTATATAAAATGTTTAGGCAACCTCCAGGATGTGCCTCCTCAAAAATCATGTTGTTTCAGTCGGTTTACAAACGAATTCGACTGTAGGTATATTTACGTAATTACCCCACAAAAGGCCAGCAACCCCTTAATCTAATCTTTGAGTCTTTGGCATGGCTTTGACGAAAGGAGAAAGAAGTGAAGAATTTGACACAACGATGATCCCAAAGCCGAAAAAGAACACACAAATTCCTGAGGATTGGTGCATGCGATTTCCACTGACTGACGTCAACAACGAAGTTGCAAAAGTAGAATCCTATTAATCCTACTATAACATAGTGATACAGTGCACTTTCCTATGTTACCTTCGGGGGTACTATACAATTTCCGATACATCCCCTGATTTCTTAAGAGGCCTTCCCATGTAGCGAACACCCCCAAGATTTCCAGCAAGCCGATGAACAGGGCGATCCTGAGAGGTCGGGTCCCCAAAAAAAGTCATGGATGTGTCATCTGCACTCAGTACCCGAAATGGTAAACGTTTACATAACGAACTGGAAAGATCCACCCTTTTACAGCTGGGTAAGTCCACTATTTCTATGGCCATATTTTCAATGACTATGTTAAATTACCAGAGGGTATATGGGAGTGTCGAACTGAATTGGTTGAAGCGGTTGAATTGATGATACGAACACCAGGACAAGCGGAGAGGTATTTAACGGTCGATTTCCAGACTGGCATTTTTGAATGATTCAGACATGTGAAGCCAAATAGATCTAGATCATAATGGATACACATACAGTTTGTTTGAACATAGGGTACCCCCAAGTTTGTATGCTATTACTTGTCCATTCGAATTGCCAATTGTTCGGCCCATAAGATAGTTGCTGAGTTTTGTTTTTGTTTTTAACTCAAACAACTTGGATCTACGGTAGACACATTACTATGTGTCTCACTACAGTTGAAAATATCACTGTGCAGGGAAAAACCTTCTTGGAAGGGTAAAAACACCCTGCCAAGGGTCCGCGTTGGGACGGAGTTGCATGAAAAGACCGCCAGGCCTATACACTGTATATCTCACTGTTAACATAGAATATATATATATATTTATATATTACTATTACCATATGTATCACTAATATCAATAAACCAATGTTCACATTCCACTGGGGAGTGCTACATCTCGTGCTATCCTTCAATTTTTGGTCGGGACCACATCGACCTCGCATGGGGTTCGAGCATCTAGTCTTGTGTTCGACCTCGCCTCGGGTAAGTTGTTACAGTTTGCGAACTGGAAACCATTGCCTATTCCAATCATTACACCTGTTGGTTGAGTATTACCCTCTGGTTATTTGTTAGATAGCTATTGAAAATGGCCCATTTATAGTTGATGTTCCAATTAAACATGGTGATTTTCCATAATGCGCTCTTAGTTTGCCAGAGGGTATACAATGTGTTCATCAATTGTTGACCATGATAAGCCATGATCAAGAATTATAACATATCATAAGAATTACAACAATATTGTCCAAAAAACATGATAAAACATATAAACAATATATAAACCATATATATTATCAATATCATTCATTTAACCAATGTTTAACCATTAAGCCAAGCCTTTAAGCATCAAGTCATTGCTCAAGCCAGGTCACGCAGCCGTGGAGCCCGTGAGGACGATGTTGAAATACCTCAGCCAGTGACGGAACGTCGGTGACCGAACCTGGGCTTCAACGGTGTAACTACTGGTTGGTGCTATACCTACCTAGCCCTCTAAAGAAAGATGGAGTGAAAGTCAGTTGGGATTATTCTCAATAGAACTAAATATCCAGATATGGCATCTCATGGTCAGTAGGGAATGATTCAACAACTTACTGGTGCTTACTAGGGAATGATTCAACCATCATAGTGGTAGTCACCATCATGAAATCACCATGAAATCACCATTAAATCCTGGTTGGTGATTTCAACCTAGCTCTCTGAAAAATATGACTTCGTCAGTTGGGATGATGACATTCCCAATATATGGAAAAATAAAAAATGTTCCAAACCACCAACCAGTAACATGCTATAATCGCTAAAACATGCTAAAAAACAAACAGATAGAAAAGCAAGATCGGCAAGTCAAATGCTTTTTGAAATGACTGTTCTATATCTGTTTGACGACTATAATAGATGATGTGAGTACTACCATGGGAAAAAACAACTCCGGAAAACCAGCTCCGAAACTCCATAGCTGAAAAAAAACTGTCTGAGCATTTTTTCAGCTACTGCTATACCCTCCGGAACGTGGCAATGGAAAATCGTCTATTTATGTATAGATGATGTTCCCAGCTATAAACCTTCATTTATAGGGGATGTCCAACTGCCACGTTTGATTACCAAAGGGTATTCTCCATATATTTCCATATTTCCTTGAACAAAAACTGCCGAGAAGGGCTGGTTGGCTGCAGGCCCACTTCTGCTGTATAAATTTCATGAAAGGAATAGGTCAAAGCAACAACACTTGTGCATCGTCCAACTTCATCAGTGTCTCATATGCAACAAACAGTAGTATATATATATATTATATTAAACTATTAACATCTATTAACACTAATATATATATATATATATATGTACAGCTGAGTATACTTCGGTCCTGTCGCCCCAATTAAATACCACGTTTTTTTTTTAAAAGGGTCCCACTCGTGTTTTTTTTGGATCGAATCCATTCCACCGTTGGATTTCGGTTGCATGGGTTGCCAGCATACGTATTATCCATTGATTGTCCATGATATCATTGTGGTAATATCATTATAATATGGATAATATACATGGATAATATGGGTTGTCCATGATATCATTATCTGAATTAATGATTGTTCTAGGATTAATATCCTTCAATTCTCCATGAAATATCCGTTCATTGTCCATGAATCATCATTAATCCATGAATTATCCATGTTTGGTGACACCATGGTTGGTCTCCAACTCCTTAAAAACAACGTCAAAAACAACGCAACGTGATACGCGATGCCATGCGATGCCCAGGCGCAAACGCTGCATGGAGTTGGAGGATTGGCCATAGAGCCAGGCCATAAACAGGCCATTCAGAGTGTCTACCAGTACCATCCCAGTGAGAAACATCAAGGGTAGCACCATCACATAGGCCTGAAGCTTCCACGGAGAAGAGTTCTCGACAAATTCTCCGACAAAATTTTAGACCAGGAAGATGGGCTTTACCTCTAAAAAGATCATGGAACTGAAGTTGGAGTTTGGAGGGTATGTGAAGTTGTGTTCCCATCAATTTTCAAGGAGACGGATTTTCCGTGGACAAAAAATTCGCGGTTGAAAACTTGGAGTTTTTGCCGCCTCAAATTCGGGGGTAGCCGTGCAGTAATACAACCACATAGGAACCTACCACCCCATTTCGAACTGGAAGATGATATGCGAAATGCATGCTGTATTTTTGTATTAGTGTTCACCCAAGCTTTCTTGTTTGAACTGCTCCAAATAAATTCTGAGCATCCATGGTTCAAAGCCTGACTTTCCCACATGAAATTACCGAACATTGGGGGCCTATCATCCTATATTCCCCCCCAAAAAAAAGAGAGCAACATATATCATCTCTCTATAATTGATCATACTGTACTATATATATATATATATATATATATATCCGCCGACCCCGGCAGACGCAAGGGGGAGCGCGCCAGGGAATAAGACAAGCAAAGACAAGCAAGTTTAGCCGCACTAGCAGCAAGAGCAGCGGCAGCAGCAGCGGCAGCAGCAGCAGCAGCAGCAGCAGCAGAAGCGATAGCATGTATTTTCTCCGCAGGTAGGCTGCTGAGTTTTTGTGCACCAGCTTCCCGGACCTCTTGTGGGTCGGCCATGTAGGAATGCATGGTTGTCTTCGGATAAGCGTCCGACGCGAAGTTCGGCTTGCAGGGCCTGTTCGTCCTTCCGTGCCTTGCTGTTTTGGTGCCGGGAGGTGCTTTTGATACTCTTCTGTTAGCAGCAGCAGGTGCTTTTGGGCAGCAGCAGCAGCAGGTGAGCTGGTGGGAGATTGAAAAAGTGGAAAAGATTGAGAAAAAGACAGGGAGCAGCAGGCAGCAGCAGGCAGCAGGCAGCTGCAGGCAGCAGCAGGCAGCAGCAGGCAGCAGCAGGCACCAGCAGAGGCAGCAGCAGGCAGCAGCAAGCAGCAGCAGGCAGCGGCAGGCAGCGGCAAAGTTGCAATTTTATAGTAGGGTTTCAGAAGTGACGTTAGGCCCTTTTTTGGGGTTCCTTTGCTACGTTTTGGGCACGAAATTAGGTGGTGTTTTGCTGTTTCAGATGTGTTTCGAAAAGGGTGCCTGGCTGTTTGTTTCTTGCTTTGGAGGCTGTTTGATTGCAGCAGCACCACAGCAGCAGCAGCAGCCACCAGCAGCAGCACCAGCAGCAGGCAGCAGCAGGGAGCAGCAGGCAGGCAGCAGCAGGCAGCAGCAGGTAGCAGCAGGCAGCAGCAGGCAGCAGCAGACACCAGCAGAGGCAGCAGCAGGCAGCAGCAGGCAGCGGCAGGCAGCGGCAGGCAGCGGCAAAGTTGCAATTTTAAGGAGGGGTTCAAAAGGGACGTTAGGCCCTTTTTTGGGGTTCCTTTG